CTGGATTCGAACCCGCCACCTTAGGTGTATGTGGCTGGCGCCTTAGACGCTTGAGCCACAGGCGCCGAGCCAATACAGTTTTTTCTTAATAATGTGTGTACATTTGGGGGGGCACTCTGTTATTTGTATAGCAATCTTAGAGTTGAGAAAACTGAGGCTTATATAAGTTAATTTACTTGTCCAAGACCGGACAGTTACTGAGTGATAAGAAATCTGAATTTATGCAGTATTCTTCTAAAGGACTTGCTCTTATCCACTCCTTCCTTCAGGGAATACACAGAACCTGTCCACAGTGTGCTTACAGTCTGATACAAGAACATGAAATAGGCAATGAAAATAGTGAATAGTGTGACTGGAGCTACAATAAAGGAAAACATTGGATGCTATGGGGACACAAAAGAAACTAATTTTCGTGGGGACGGGAGTATCTTAAAAAGAATACATTACAGTATACTGATATAATACACTCCATTTGATTTGATCCTACCGGCAGAACACCCTATCTCAAAACAGCCTGTTTATAACACCAAAGGTTTAATTACTCAAAGAGGAAACACAACACTGCTTTTGGAAGCAGCCCAGTGTCCCCAGGTATTACTCATGGCACGGGTGTCACATCGACCTCAGTGGCTTCTGCCCCTAGTGGCACGAAACGGCGCCGTCCCGAGGCTGCCCCGGCGAGGCCTCGCGGGCGCACGCGCCGCCCTCCGACTCACTTCAAGTGGATTTCTTCCAGCAACTTCAGTTTAAGGCGGTCGGTGCTCACACCGTCGAAGTTGTCGCCTTTTCCTTCCCCCATAGTGTCAGGTCAGAGACTTCCCGCGTCCCTCCCCTCAAGGCAGCACAGAGCGGAAGACCTGAAGGGACCCCCAGAAGCGAAGAAAGAGAAAGCTTCATCAGGAGCCTGTCACCACCGCGAACTGCCTCACCACCTGGGCCTCTAGCGCCAGCCCCGCGACGCCTCCCGGTGACGTCATAAGGCGTCGCCAGGCAGCGGCAGGGTCGGGGCGGCTGGAACAATAAATGGACTAAAGTCCCGGGGAATATTCGTGATATTTCTGAACGACAGCCCTCACGCTAGGCGGAGGGGACACGCCTTGCTCTGGACAGCCAGGAGGGATGTCCTCTGGCTACACGGCTGAATGCAAGGGAGTCAAGAATATTAACTCATTTTTCTTAACCGCCTGTTGGCCTTGGTTGCTTTCCTAACACTGCCCTATGCCCAAGACTCCTTTATCCTTAGTCCTGATTAGGGACACGCTGGATCTAAGAGTGGCCGCGCCTTTCTTTGCATCAGTTGCACGCGCACCAGATGCTCTGGTTGGGCGTGATGGAAGAGAAAGAGCTGGTCTTAAAAAGGGACTGTCTAAACACTGGAGGATTTCTGAGTGTTCAGTCCAGATTCTTCTTCTTGGATTCTGTGTACTGTTTGTGAACATACCTCAGAGCTGCATTCTGCAACTTGAAAGTTCCTTATATTGTTAATCACAAAATTTTCATTCTACGCCTGATACATCTATATTTTAATATCCCTTGCCCCCAGTTCTTGGGAACAAGAATGGTGTGGAATGGTGAATGTCCTTAACTTTATGAATTCTTCTTTAGTATATTTTCCTGAATGAATTTGAAAAGTGTCACCATGGGACCATGTTTTCTGGAAGAAATCAGGGCAAGTGTTCTGTCTGGTAAGGAATTCCTTTCTTTTGTTTCATCTCTAGTGCAGAGAAGAGTGGCTCTTAGGGGTTAGATACTGGAGGAAGGTCTTTCAAAAAATAAAAAGGGTGACGCCTGTGGCTCAGTGAGTAGGGCGCCGGCCCCATATACGGAGGGTGGTGAGTTCAAACCTGGCCCCGGCCAAACTGCAGCCCGGCGTTGGGGCGGGTGCGTGTAGTCCCAGCTACTCGGGAGGCTGAGGCAAGAGAATCGCCTAAGCCCAAGAGCTGGAGGTTGCTGGGAGCTGTGATGTCACAGCACTCTATGGAGGGCGACAAAGGGAGACTCTGTCTCTAAAAAAAAAAAGCACAAGAAGCACATTTGGTTAAAGTGCTTATTTGGTTGCTGCTTAACAACATACATAGTTTTGGAAAACTGATTTTTTATAGGGAAAATATTAGGCACTGATAGTAAAGGTTAGGGATCTATGGTTCTATTGGAGAGGCCCAATGGAGAGAAAGAACCCCCAAACACTGTGTTTAAAAGAAGAAGGGCATTATTCCAGGTAGCAGAACAATGGCAGACCAGAGTATAAAAATGGCCATGCTCCCTGACTGGCTCAGTTTTCTCCTTTTTATCCTCAGTCAAAAGTTCTGTCCAACAGATACTTTCTTATTGGTCAGTTTGAATTAAGCTGGAGAAGTGGGATCCGGCTTTTACAGAAGCAGAAGCAAGAGTTAGTTTCCTGGTCCCAGGAAGTTAAGTTTCTACAAATTCCTAAGAGCAGAGTCACCATGAGGAGGACCTTGGCAGGTGTATCCTTAGGGTCTTCTTGAGAAGACCTCTGCTCTCTTAGACCTCACTTTTTCTGGGTATCTTCTGTCAGTTTCTTAAAGTTTGTACAAAATAAACCTTAAAATAATTGGCAAGATAGATGCTGGAGCTAAGGAAAGTCTTCCACCAGATAGAAAGTTTTGACTGGGCATGGTGGCTCACACCTGTCATACTAGTACTCTGGGAAGGAGGCCAAGGTGGGGTGGATCAGTTGAGCTCAGGGGTTTGAGACAAGACTAGGGAAGAGTGAGACCCATTTCTACCAAAAAAAGAAAAACTACCCCAGCATTGTGGCACTTTCCTATAGTCCCAGCTACTCGGGAGGCTGAGGCAAGAGGATCCCTTGAATCCAAGAGTTTGAGGTTGCTGTGAGCTAGGATGCCATGGCTCTCTACCCAAGGGCACAGAGTGAGACTGTTGTGGGGGGATAGGTTTTGAAAGAGAGAAGGGAGAATAAAAAATTTTAGAGAATCTAAAAAAGTAAAAAAGCATGGGAATTTGGAATTATTTGAGTAAAATGCAAATGTAGTAGCATAGTAGACTGATGGTGTACGAGGTCAGATAATTACATTTGCCAACTCATCCTAGAAAAAAATGCTACATACCTATTGCTGAATATCACTAAGGTCACCTTTGAAGTGCTCCCTTGGGAAGCTATGCGCTGACCCTAGTGCCTAGTCTGCCCTTCAAAACATTTTTGGGGCTTGGCGCCTGTGGCTCAAGTGGCTAAGGCGCCAGTCACATACACCTAAGGTGGTGGGTTCAAATCCAGCCTGGGCCTGCCAAACAACAATGAAGACTGCAACCAAAAAAAAAATAGCCGGGTGTTGTGGCAGGTGCTTGTGGTCCCAGCTACTTGGGAGACTGAGGCAGGAGACTCGTTTGAGCCCAGGAGTTGGAGGTTGCTGTGACCTGTGATGAGTACTCTACCCAGGGGGACAGCTTGAGGCTCTGTCTCAAAAACAAAACAAAACAAAAAACATTTTTGGAACTCTTTTCCTGGTATGGTCATCAGAGCTGTCATCATGTGAGGTCTGAAAATTAAGTTTGCAAATTCAACCTAGAAAAAGGTGCTACAGTACCTCACTGCAGAATATCACTATTATCACCTTCAAAGGACTCTCCTTGGCTACTGTATAATATCTGAAGGAACCACCCAGATTTGTGGGCAAAAAATAATTCGAAGCATTTTGAGAAGTCATTTTAACTAACAGCAAGTAAGGATAATTTAATGTGTACAAAATGTAAACTGCTAAATATATTTGTTGTTTGCAAAGAGCCTACAATTTAATTGAAAAGAAAAGCATAAAAGAGTTCAATCTCCTGTTGGTAACTGTTAGTCACTAGTGTGTGTAGTCTCTGCCTTGGTGTCTTCCTCCACTCTTCCACAGCCAGAGTTCTTAGTGCTTCTCTCCACTACACTTGGGGGGTGAAGCAGAAACAAACGGGGGTTCAGTACGGAGGTAGTCATGTACTATATGTGTATTCTTTCAAGTCCTTCTGATGTACACCTGTACCATGTCAAAAGCTAAGAATTCATGTTTTTGTTCTTTGGTTCCTTTGGAGAAACTCCTGTCCCTGCCTCATGTCAGAAGGGTCAAGAATCATCTCTACCTCTTGTGGTACTTTCAAATTACTGCTCTTCCACTGCAAGTAAAAACCCACTCCCCTGATCCACATGCCTCCTTTAAAATTTTTATTTTGTATTTTTTTATGTCTTAGAGACGAGGCCTCACCATTACCTATAGGCTGGAGTGCAGTGGCCCGGTCATAGTTCACTATAGCCTCAAATGCTCAGGCTTAAGTCATCCTCCCAGCGTAGTCTCCCAAGTTGCTAGAGCTACAGGCAAGACCCCGGCTCCACATGCCATCTCAGTGTAGCACTATTTGCTCATCCTCTTTGCCTTGCGCAGAGACTTTACAGTCACTGCTTGTCTACTAACTTTGACAACGAAAGTGCCTTCCACCATACATCTTGTGATACTCTTCACTGATTGTACTTCTAAATGACTAAAACTGTCCTACAACCTTGCCCTTCAACTAACAACTCTCATCACTTTCATCTCCATTCCACCTACTGCCACAGCCATACCCTTAATCTCAGACACCTTAAGTTCAAAAACTGTTGTCTACCAAAGTCTCCTATCCTTTCAGTTTTCAACTCAGTTACTCCCTACATAGTATTAGCGTAGTGTGAGAGCCAAACCAGCTCCATTTTGTTGTTTACTGCACAAGCCCCATTCCTAGCTGTTTACTGCATAAAATCTAGTCCACCCCAACTCCCCTGCTATTACCTTCCTCCACCCCTGGTTGCACATACTGTTTACTGCATAAGCTCCATTCCTAGCCCTTCACCCCAACCTCTGCCAGTAAAACCTGTAGGACCACTCCCTGCTGCCTCCCCCACCCCTGGTTCCATAGCTATTGTGAACCATAAACTGAGTCTCCTTAGGCAAATAGCTGCCGTAATAAACAATAAGTTTCTATTTCTTTGAAATACAGGTATTTCCCTCCAGCTAGCCCCGGTTAAGAAATCCCCCACCCCTCACCTGTACCAATCCAAATCCTCCTTTACTAATGAAATCATCAACCACCAATGCAAATCCTCCTTTACTAATGAAATCACCAACCACCAATCAAGAGTGTACTCATAATGGACCCTACCCTTCTTGCTTTCTGTACCCCAGAAAAACTTGCTCTACCCCAAGTTCGAGGGTCTTCCCCGGCTTGCATGCCAGGAGAGTCCAGGCCCGGGCTTGAATAAAACTCACCTCTTGTTTTTTACATCGGAGTGTGTCTCGGATTTGTCTGCTGGGGCCTTTTGGGAGAATTTTGGGCATAACAGTAGCATAGGAGTTGTTTCACTAACTAGGATATCATCTGGGGAGCTTCTTAAACAAATTCTGGGACCCTATCCCACATCTCATATATCTTGCTTCATCCATAACATATTTGTTTGCCCTTCACCTGGCTTCCAAATTTGTCTTCTAAATTTAAACAACAGATGGGGGTTGTGGAAGTACATTTTCTCCCACTAATAACTCCTCCAATCAATAGCCTCCAGGGTGAACAAGCTTTTTTTTCATAAAATATATTTGAAGACATTATTTCAGACTTGTTTTTCCATCTTATCTGTCTTCTTACATTTCTTTCTGTGCTGGCCACAGTGGCTCATACCTCTAATCCTAACACTTTGGGAGGCAGAGGTGGGTGGATGGCTTTAGCCCAGGAGTTTGAGAGTCCAGGCCTGAGCAAGAGGGAGACCCCGTCTCTACTAAAAATAGAAAAATTAGCCAAGTGTTGTGATAGGTGCCTATACTCTGAGCTACTCGGGAGGCTGAGGCAAGAAGATCGCTTGAGTCCAGGATTCTGAGGTTGCTGCGAGCTA